AGAGAGAGAGAGAGAGAGAGAGAGAGAGAGAGGGGGGAGCAGGAGGACCTTCCAAGGGAATATTCTCTTTTGTTTTAGTAAAAGTTTTACGGCACTTGCAACACAATTAGATCACAAAAGTGCCCAAGATGTAAAAAAGAAGTTAGTTTTAATTTTAGTAAGAGTTTTACGGCACTTGGCAACACAATGAGGTCATATAAGTGCCGAAGATTAGAGGTTTTACAAAAGAGTAACAAACACAAAAAGAAAGGAGGAGAGATAAAAACGACAGATGTTTGATGGGAAAGAAGAAGCAAACCACACCAGGGCACCCACCAGCCACTACAAGTTGAAAGAGACAAACCACTTACATCTACACCTATATATTGAACAATGTTTTATTGACAAAGAACAATTTCATATTCTCTGAGAAGACAAACAGATAATCATCCCATTTTTCAAGGCAAACAATGCTGTTGGATCACGGAATAGAAACAAGCCATGCCAGAGAGAAACGCCACTTTTACAAGCCATTGTGTTTACAAGTTTAGCCCTATCCGTACGTCGTGTTTTACTATCGTATCCATAGGACGTGGTAAACTCTGTGCCACCCCTTTCCAAAGAGGAAATTTGCTCGTTAATCCGATTCGTACACTTTGCATAGCAGTCTGTCAAAATATTTATTTGAGAAATACTGAAAGTTTCAAAGAGACCTTCGCACTAGAAGTATTCTAAAATGTGAAGAATGCAACCCCGGGGGTACAAATTGACCCCAGGCGTACGGATAGGGTTAAGCATTTAGCTATGTGTGTACATATCATATTTTTTTTATCCACCTTGAGGGCATACTGCACTGTAGGGAAATCTAAAAAATAAGTTAGCAATTTTATATTTAAAAAAAGAAAAGAAATCAACACCATTCTTCCTAATGGTGACTTAAGTCGTCTGTGCATACATTAATAGGAATATCAAGTAGGAAAAAAAAAGCAGCAAGTGTATGGGTTAAGCGCCATTATCAATACTATGAGGTTATTCAAGAAGTGGTACCTCCAAATCTAACACACCTCTCATACAGGAGAAAGTCAAATGGGTTGACAGCCTTGAAAACACCTCGAGTTCAAGAGTGCCCAGTGTAGGATTCGAACCAGGGCACTCTGCCCCCTAATCCAGCGCGATATATTTATCCGTGAGATAACAGAGCACCCATTGGGTAAGAAGCAAAGTGTCAATGTAGAAATATTTATATCATATCAACAAAATGACACAAAACATTCCCCCCCCCAAACACTCTACCGTTGCATATTTTTCTTGTTTACATTTTCCTTTCCCACTAATTCCTGATGCAAGATCTCAACACAAAGCACAGCTTCCTCATCTCTCTGCTTCTCAAGCACACAAAAAAAAAGACTTAAAAATGGATCTGTTTTGCATTCATAAATCAGCCTTGAGTATCTACTTTTTTACAAATTAAAAGGACGATAAAATACATTGAAATTTCACCCCTAAAATTTCTGATTGACTTGTTCTTGCTCCCATCATTTTTATATCTATGGCGAGAAGAAATTATCTGCCAGTGACAAATCACCTTACAGACAAAATCATTTCCACCAGCATAGTGCACGGTTATACCCTAGCAGACACAGACGGAACACATCATAATAAGGCTGCTATCAGAGTTGTTATCGGCTGATCCAAACACAAAACCTACACACCCTGCACGAAAAGACGTATGCCCTAAATAATCGTGTCATCTAGAAATATTTCAGTAATGGCAGAATCAACTAACTGATAAAGACATTCTTAAAATCCTAAACGCCCTTCAGTCATCAATCAGCAGACCAAAACACAAACCACACACCCTGCATTAAAGGAAACATGTCCTAAGTAATTATCTTATCTTATCTTAAAATATGTCAGAAAGAACAAGCCAATAAAGACATTCTTAAAATCCCTAACGCTTTTCACTTCAGTAATCAGTTGACCAAAACACAAAACATACACCCTGCACTAAAGGAGGTATGTCCTTGATAATAATTCTCTCATTTTAAAATATTACTGCAGTGATGGCAGAAAGAACAAATCAATGAAGACACTCTTAAAATCCCCAATGCTCTACATGGAAAAGAGTTGCAGTTTTACAGAGAGAACTTGAATAAAAATTCCAACAAGCAAATGTGTACGTGTCTCATCAGACCCATAGACAAAATGCCGTTACATTTTCGGCCTGATTTCAACAAATTACTTACACCTACAGACTACACAACAGCATCTGGGAGACTGAGGAGGCCAATCTTGAAATTTTATAAAATAACAAAGCTTGCTGTGACTATGAGAAAGTACTAGGTGTCGTCCTTGCATCCATTTCCACACTGTTACTTTCACACGATCAGAAGTCTTATAGGGCCCACATTTAAAAAAAAAATTTAAAAAATTCATTTTCTCAAAGAAAAGAAACAAAACAACCCCTCCCCCTTCCCCCCCCCAAAAAAAACAAAAAAACAAAAGATTATTTCTAGCGTTAAGTAAAACAAAACCAACTTTTGTATTGTGAGATACTCTCTGACCTGACACCTAGATCTACCTATATTACCGTAACTTCTTCAAAAGAATAAGTTTCTATGTCATTTTCCACCAACAATTATGCTTCACACAAAGAACAGACTGTAACATTTTAGAAGTAGGCTTTTTTTTTTTCACACCCCCCATCGACACAATTTCCATCTTAACAGAATGTAACATGGACAACAAAAGGCACAACAATTTACAAGTTACTATAATTTTCTGCACAGAGAAACCACCGACCATAAAGCAATTACAGTAAGAGAATGCTTCTTATGGCTCATGTCATGGTAAACCCGTCTGGCTACAATGTTCTCCGTTGATTTCTCCGCTGAGACGTACATCGGCCAAGTTTTACCCACGGTTACAACACCACCGATGAGAATAAATGTTTGAAATGTGCCGAAACATTGTCTTTGCTCCGCTGCTGATCAGACATATTATGTGAGGGCTGCTGACAAAATGAGTTACTAATTCCAACCCACAAAAGGAGAAATCTGAGAAAAAATCGACACATGTCAAATTTGTTGATTTTCTACAGATGGGATTTTTTTTTTCAAGTACAACTTGTTTAAAAAAAATATTATTCCACATTTATAAATTGTTCAAACTGTGCCAATAAACTTGACCTATCTATTTCCATAGGGTTAATGAGAGAGGTAACTTCATTTTGTCAGCCTGCCTGGCAAATATGTCTGCTATGTCCTAAAAAAGTAAAAATTTCTGCTAAACATATGACATAACATCAACAGAAAAAGCTTTCAGTTGCCTTCCATTCTCATACAACAACAAAACCGCAACATGTGGCAGAATCACTTCAACATCTTTGAACAACTGATTGAATGCCTTTAGACACAAAGAATAAAGTATTCCAAAGGCAGTCTCAAATAAAAATATTCTAACTAGAACTATATATAACAGAAAAGGTATGCTAAAAAAAGCCCCACCCCCCAAAAAAAACAAACAGCCAGCAGCGACAAACAAACGGTCGTGGAAAGAAATGTACATGTACTCTCGTACAATTTGCACCCAATAAGAAGTTTACTTCAAATGATCCACAGAAACAAAGGGGTATCTTCAGAAGTGGGAATCAACCACAAGACGTCCATACTGAAAAGTTTTAACAAAACCCTCCAGGGTGGTCTTTTTCAGTTCAGGAAGATGTACAAAATTATAGGTCCCACTTTATCTTAGTCTCGAATATTCCCCATCTCTTCAACAGCAAAAGAAAGACAAGCAAGAAAGCCAAATTTTGATCTCATACTAACAGCAAGCAGTGTAAATGTCTCTTAACTAAGCCATGACAGTTAACCCCTGGTGTCAATCCACAAAAGGCAGCGACAGCAACACTCTCATACATTCATGATCCAATCTTCTCAATAGCATCTAAATCGTCCGCATCCAGCTTTGAAATCTGTCGACCTGGTAACAAAATTATTTTTGGAAAAAGAAATCAGTTTACCAATTTGCAGTCACAGAAAATGTAAAGGCTTAGATTAAAAAAGAGGATGTTATCTTTCAAAGAAAGCTTTGAGAGATCTTTATGCATAGTATCTCTTGTATGACAAAATGTTTATTACTCTCTCCTTCCCAAAACAGTAGAAGAATATACAAGAAAAAGATGAAGAAAGACTGGCCAGCATTATTTGACTCACTTGCATTGCAAAAAAGCATTACAATTAACTTGTAGAATCAATTTTAACTTCACCTAGAAAGAAACTACATAATATGTCATTAATCACAAATGATTTTAACTCATCAGTCTGTCAACTATTTGCCGCTCTGTGCCACAAACTAGCGTAAAACATATAAAAACTTTCAAAATCAGAACATGAAGAAAAGTATGGAAAGCTCAACCATTTTAGTACTTAGGTCATTCACTTAATAGCGCATTGTCAGGCACTTGTAAGAAAACAAAATGTTAGATCAGTGAGGAAAACAAAGTTGGTCACAATTCGAGTTTCATATATATGATAGAGCACATTTTCCCCTTTCCAAGGACGTGACAAGTGGAAAAGGGTAAGATACGGCACTCGAGAATGGGCAAGAGTCTGAAAAAAGGGCCATTCCAAGAAAGCGACACACATAATGTGGAGAAATTAACCTACTGAAAAAATTTGAAGCAGTGATAGAGCAAGTCTTTGATCCTTTTTTTTTGCTTGAAGTAACATTTTGATAAAATTTAAAAAAAAAATACAGAAGAATGAACTATTATTGTTTAGATATTTTAAACGGTAGGTTATTATCCCGGTATTATATGTATCACCTTTCATGAAATGGCCATAAGAAAAGTCAAAGAGTTTTCATTCAGGAAGCAGGACATCTTTCATTTGAACTTAAAAGATGAAATTACAGATTAGAAAAATTTCAACTTTTTTCCCCTCAAAGATAAAGAACATCCTACCCATGAGACTTCAAAAACAGCTCTTTAATTCGAACAACCAAACATAAGAGAATTTACTTACCGAAATGCTTCTCAATAAATCTCAACGTGTTCATAGAGCGGTGTCCGTCCACAAAGTTTATGGCGATTCCGTTCTTGCCGAACCGGCCTGTTCTGCCGATCCGGTGCAGGTAGGTCTCACAGTCAGGCTTGTGGTCAAGAGTGAGAGGAAGATCGAAATTGACGACCACCGTCACTTGTTCAACATCGATACCTGAGGGACATTATAAGACGAGCGATATAGACATATCTAGTCACACATGATGGAGTACCAGCTCAAATATTATAACGCGGTGTTTTGACTAAAGTCACTTGTTTAAAAACTTTGTTCTTGGGTACTGGGAAGTGGCACATACTCTGTAAAAACTTCGAAGTCCTACAACTATTTTATGAAAATACACTTAAATTTGGAATTCCAGGTATTCTTGATGGATGTCATCATCATCCAGTGCCAGATCTGCGACAGACATCGGCGATCATTGTTCTCCATTCATTCCTTTGCTTGGATGCTCTTTAAAAAGTTACGTTTCCCTGACATTCCCCATTACCCATTTGTTTAGGTTCCCTAAGTTGGTTGCTCTGGGCCTACCCCTGCTGCGTTTGCCTTCAATTTTGCCAGTGAGAGCTAGATGTTCAAGACCCTTATGTCTATTCACGTGTCCCAAAAACTGCATTTGTTGTTTCCTGATTGATTTTAAAAGTGAGCGTCCCATGTGGGCGTTACCAAGCACTACCTCATTTGATTTCTTTTCATTCCACGATATTCTAAGCAGTCTCCTAATAAACCACATTTCTGTTGCTTCTATTTTATTTTCACTGTCTTTAGTGATTGTCCAGCATTCACAGCCATATAGAAGGGTTGACCATACAAAGCATTTCAGAACTTTCATTTTGGTAGTCATTGAGAAGTTTATATTTTTCAGTACTGGGCTCATTTTATTGAAATTAGCCTTAGCCATTGCAATTCTCCATCTTATTTCCGTGGAACATTTCGACGTAGTGTCAAAAAATCAATTTTTTGTTCCTCTCGTAAAATTTGAAAAACCTGAGTTACCGCAGTTGTGCTGCTACCCCACGACATACAAACAGTAAAACAGAACGTTACTGTTATTTCTATCTCCTTCTATAATATTGTTTACCTTAGTTCAGTTTACTTTGGGGGGGGCGGTTATGGCATTTGCAACACAAATAAAGGGCTGTGTACCCACAAGCATATGTTCTAGTAGTCGGCAAACAAAAAAATCACCTCTTGCCGAGACATTGGTTGTGATGAGAACCTTCTCTTTGCCGTCGCGGAACCTCTTGATGATGTCTGCTCTCATCTCGATGGGCAGCTCACCGGACAGTAGGCCGACAGCATGACCCTCCCCTGTCATCTTCTCCGCCAGCCACGATGCCATTTTCCTCGTCTGAAAGCAAGACCAGATGTTACAAGTTCAGCTTGTTTAGTCTGATGCTCAACAAATGTGTAAAACATTTTTAAGATAAGAGAGAGAACCTTCGAATTCCATTTTCTCAAAACTATTAGTTTTAGTTTTAGTAAGGTTTTTCACAGCGCTCGCAACTGCATGAGGTCATATGAGCGCCAAAGGGTGGATGTCAACAGAGAAGTCCAAACGGGGAATCAAGCTTACTCTGCTCACTTCTCTAGCTTCAACAGCACAAAGTCTACTTGACTATCAAGGCACCCCGGAAATAGCAGTTCACAAACGAGTGACAAAAATACAAAACAAGTAGAGGGAAAATGACGATAGTAAGGAGGAGGAAAGAAAAAAGCAGCAGTTCCCCCTATGTTGTTTTAGCACAGCATGAGCATGACATTGAAAAGTCAGCCCATTTACAATTCTACTGTGCATACGAACATGTTAACACTTTGCAGTCACACAGCCAGCAGTACAAAATACCCCACCTGGTCACCCAGCCAGGAGAGCGACTGCAACGGACTTCTCGGAACTGGCGCATAACTGAGACATGTGACTGGAACGTATAATTTTCACAGGCGCATTATTGCGCCAAGTGACCACAAAGTGTTAATATCCCCC